GTATGTTCACATTCCTGAATAAGTTGTAAATCCACCTCACAAACTTTTCCATGTTCATATTTCTTCAAACAATCCATTATGCAAAATGCAAGACATAATCTTCACCATATATTCAATTAATGTCTGTTTTTGAGTATTTATCTTTATCTTGTTCATCTGATCAGTGTTGGTGCTGAACAAAACAAGTGCATACATAATCATTTTCTTGAATATATGGTTTTATTTTGTTCGGAGGAATTCCATTCACGTATTAATAGCTAACGGTGTATTATTCAATCATCTAATAAATCAATTATGCTACAGAATACGTGTAGAATAAATTACTATTCCCCATCAAGAAATTTGCCTCAGAATTTTATAGCAGATATATGTATTTTTTAGGATTTCAATGTTCACATCATGATATCGATCCAAGACTATGATGATCTATTCAGTTTTCAAGCCCATCCGGAGCTCAAGTTTACATAAATCATTCTCTGAAAATGCAGTTTTTAATGTGATTAAGATCTTTGAATGTGTTGAATACTGATGTATTATTTCAACAGTTCCAACGGTTGAAAATCATTTCTCCTCATCAGAACAATATTGCTGTATCTCGACGCATTTCGCAAACCAAATTGGCATCATCAGGAGATGAATGAGCTATGTCGATATTTTCATATGCATCTACACGAAACATCACCTCATCGTTCCAATCATCAAGCTAAAATATCATTTGTGAGGTGTTTTCTACCATAGGAAACTTTTGATAAAAATACAGTATCATCCATGCATCAGTTAACTGAGGATGGTCCTGATCAATGAACATGATTTTGCAAGGCATTCTACATATCTCCGAAATATCTGCTATTTTGTTTCATTGTTGTTATGGATATTAAGAAAACATATTGTAAAACTTTCATTCGAACAAACATTTGGTGTTATAGTATCTTCCAGCACGTTTGGAAGTACTGCATAATACTATTGACCCTATTATCACCGAAATGTCTGAAGCAAATCCTGATGAATTTCGATTTTATTTCAATATGGTGGAGCTATACCCCATTAGTCCAGACAAGTTGGAGTTCATTTCCTCGGAAATTGGATTGGAAGTCGAGATTTTATCAAATAGCCAGCTCGCTCGCCAGATTTGATAGCTTCGCAGTTTTTATGGAGCTATTCGAATCAAGAGGTTACCGAAACTGAATCTGTTTCAATATTGGATGAACGGTGGAGATTTATCGATGTTATTGAAAATGTTTAGCGTGACATTTCAGATAGACTGTTCTGTTGTCAAGAATTTCACCAAAACCACATCTTTTCAATTGAACTCAATGTATTTCTAGAAACTATTGAGCCAAATATCAATATATTCAGGTAATTATCAAATGTACTGCTATTTTGAAGTACTCGCCAGGGGCGTCAAAGGAATGTATCATAAGATCCTATTTTCCATTTATTTTTATCAAAATGAATTTTTTCACCATCTTGAAATGTATGGATAGTCTGCTTGATGCTCTAGACGAAAGAAAAGTAGATCTGCAAGCTTAAACCGATGACCTTGTCATCTTGGCAAGGTCCCCGTCGCGAAGGGTAGCTTGTAATATCCTCCAAAGCACAATGGAAGTTGTTCACAGTTGCTGCCTGAAGGAGCAGATGTATGTCAAACCCAGCAAAACTGTGATAATCACCTTCACCAGGAGGAGATCATCTACCGGCGATCTAACGTCACTTTTCCTCAATGGTGAGGTCATTCCATTTGGAGCTAAGATGAATTATTTTGGAATTGTCCTTGATGAAAAAACTCACCTGGAACGCTCACTTGAAAAAAGTTTTACACAAAGCCAGACTGTCCCTATGGACATGTCAAAGAATTCGTGGTGAAACTTGGGGTTTAGGTTCCAAACAAATCCATTGGATCCATGTGATGATTGTCAGAGCAATGATCACCTATGAGGCAATTGCCTGGTGGTCGAAGGCTTTACAGAAAACGGCCCAGGCGAAGCTCTATGGCTTACAGAGACAGGCTTGTCTGATCATCAGTGGTGCCATCAGTACTACACCATCAGCGGCCATGGAGATCATTCTAGATCTCTCCTCTGAAGAGAGAGGCTAGATGGACTGCATATAGACTTGTGCATATTGCCAATTGGACGAATCAATTTAATGCAGAGTGCAACAGACTGTTGGTTGTCACTGAAAGTCACAGCATTTTGACCTCTGAATTCATGCCTCCAACTGACATCTACGAACTGCCTTATAAAGTACTGTTCCCAAGTAGAGAGGACTAGATCCTCCGGGAGAAGGAAATATTAAGAGCAGATAGTTGTTGGTTCAAAGGTTCTGTTGCATGTGTTTTCAGTCGCAGACCCAGAACAGAGATATTAACCTTCCTAGGAACCAGTGCGGCTGTATTTCAACCGGAAATTTACGGTATTGAATTGTGTGCGTTGAGATTGAAAGGATCCAGCCTCATACACAAGTCAATAAAAATATTCTCGGACAGTCAAGCGGCGTTGGAGGCTCTTGGCTCCTACCGAGTAACGTCTGAATTGGTAGCAAATTGCCAAAAACGACTCTCATCATTGGGAAGACTTGTTATATTGTCTCTGGTCTGGATTCCTGGCCATACTGGCCTGTAAAGCATGAGGCTGCTGACTTTCTTGCAAAGGAGGGTGCTGCAGCTCTAGCTTCATTGGACCAGAACCTGTAATTGGCATCGCTTTAGGCTTTGCCAAACATAGTTCGAACACCTGGATGGCAAAAAGATTTATGGAGTTCTGGCAGGATCTTTCAGGATTGGCTCACTCCAAGGCGTTTATTTACCCATCGAAGATTGATACCGAAGAGTTGTTGGACTACAGTAAGGATAAACTAAAATGTCTTACAGGCCTTCTTACAGGTCACTCTTAGTTGAATCATCATATGCAGAGACTCGCACTGTCGGAAGGCAGTGTGTGTCGCCTCTGTTTGGAAAATGATGAAACAGCAGAGCACATATTTTGTGCTTGCCCTGCTGGGGACTGAATCAGAGTTCAACAGCGCCGTACTCTTACCATCTGACCTGAAAGACCACTCACCATACAAACTAATCTGCTTCGTTGAAAAACTTGGTTGATATTTTCATCTGTCAATGTTTCTCTAACATACGGTAATTATGCATCCATTTCATTATCTGAGTTTCATTTTTCTGAATTAAGTTCAAAACATGAAAGTGAATCGTGAGGCATTGAAGAAAAGCACTGTAAGCAGAAACTTCAGAAGTAAAATTAGTTTCCCAATCTGTTGTTGATAACCTTACTCGCTATCACATATACTTTTCTCACTCCCCGGTATATCCTTATTTTCTAAAAATCTAATGAGCGGAAGCGAAAACAACCTACCTATCGTGGTATGCAGAATTTTCAAGTCATCACTATTTTTTTCACAGTGATTGCGGTTGTCATACATTGAATGAAATTTAATTATCGTTAATACTCAGCCAACCATTCGGCTGTCGGCATAACTGAAAATTTACTTTTAAACGGTAATTTACCCAGTGACCTCTTTAGTTCTGTTACATCTGCATACAACAGAATATTCATCATAGAGCACTAAAAATAATTACTTCAGTACTTTTACTTCCGAATGGTGGTTGTGAAATTGTACACAAATATTCCATTAGAGAAGACAAGTAAATTGACTACTTTCAATCGGAGTGTTGTGGTATATGCAGTATCAGAATATTTTGTTTCAGAGTCTGTCTCAAAAATCCGCTATTTTCACTAATACCGAATGTTGTTATGTACGACTATGGTGAGTGGATTTTTGAGAAAGCAAATTACTGAATTGAAATCCATACAATTATTTTCACGAATATTCCGAATATGCTTTTTGGCTTCCACTGCTTCATCTTCATACAAAAAATTGTGGAAAACTTCAAAGAAAAGGAAGAAATCAATGAAGTTCATAATAATAATTATGAACGAATTGAGTATTTTTTTTATAATGTTATCCGTATTTGCTACTGAAGAGCCAATAAGGCAAGTGTCTTACGGCAAAACATCGGATGTCTAGCAGTGAGGATGACAGTGTTCCATCTAGGTGAAATTTCACTTCTTTTATTACTTATTGTGTAGGAATCCTGAGAATGATATTTGATTCGATCCCATTACGGATGTTTGGAATGTTTGTTTCGAAATTATTTTTCTTTCGTATAACTAAATTTAAATAATTTTTATTCTTCATTATCTCCAAATTCATTTCGAACAAATAAATCAGATACAATTTGCATTATGCAAAGTTCAGTTTGCATTATGATAAGTCATCATTCAATTGTTCTTGCACTTAACCTCAAAAATGTCGCCCAGTACCCAAAGGAATACACAAAAAAACGAAAAATTATTTGATGAATACTATGACTATTTGTAGTTTTGTACCTGTAAGGTAGGTAACTATTTGGTAGTTAATAGTTTGAAGATAGTAACAATCGTTTGAAATTGGTATTAAAACAGTTGAAGTAATTTCGTTTCATGGTCTCGGCAATGTTATTATACATTGCACAGATCTGGTAGCTGAAACTCCTTCTGAAGTAAAAAGAATCTCTTGAAATATGTTTTTCCGTTAACAGCTGTCGCCCCCCTACGAACGAAAACTCTCAAAAGTCGAAACTTGTGCGAGCCAAGGACTAACGAGGTCTTACCTTTCAACGTGTGATTCCTAATACACAAAAATGTCTTGTGAAGATCACACAAACTAGAAGGAAAGTCCTCCCGAAAAAACTATTCTCACATGAACATTCAATCACATGAAAGAAAAATATGTTCGAAACAACTACTTACTACCATATAAACAAAAAAAAAAGTAATTCATCAGAGAGTTACGCATAAAATTTTACTCACATGGAACACCTTTTTCAAGGGCGAAATTCGAAGTTTCGGTAGCCACAAAGACTCCTTTTTGAATTTTAAACCATTTTCAAAATAGTTATGAGAAATAGTTATTCCGTATTCTAATAGATTCATCATTGTTGCAGGATCAAGTATGCTTTGGATGGCCATTCTGGGCGCCATATTGGTATGGTCAGCAGCCCCCGGCGCCGCTAACTCTTCGAAGAAAAGAGAACAAGGTATGATGAAAGAGTTCAATATACAGTGCGGTCCATATGTATGGAATAAATTCATTTTTAGCGTTATTATGTACTGTGTGAAAAAATCCTGAAACAGGTCGATTTTTATTCTCAAATTGACAATTTACAGTATGAAAATATTATCCCTCTCCAGCACCCCTTCTGAATTATAAGCACCCCCTCGAAAATTTTAAATAGCAAAGGGGGTCGTGTGGCAGCTTGTTGGAAAGGGATTTTAGTTCTCTGTTCAGGAAGATATAATGTTTTTTAAGTTTGGTGCCATCATAACTGAGAAAATTGATTTTTAGGATGTAAAATTTTGATAATGTCTCTAGGTATCACAAAAATTTACGTAGAATAAAGATAACAATGCCACATAATATTTATAATGTATTTTTCAATGTATTTTACAATTAAATTAAATGTTCAAAATGACCACCATTAACTTCTTGACAATAACCAAGGCGATTTTGGAATTCTCGTTCAACATTTTGTATGACCTCGGAGGTTATTTTGTTAATTTCTTCCGTTATCCTAACTTTTAAATCAGCAATATTGTTTGGTCTATTAAATTATACTTTAGATTTTAAATAACCCCATAAGAAGTAATCGAGAGGAGTCAAATCGGGGGATCTAGCCGGCCATTTGATCGTTCCACATCTTCCAATCCACCTATTGGGAAAAACCTTGTTTAAATAATTTCTAACTGTACGTGCAAAATGCGGTGGAGCTCCGCCTTGTTGGTAGTAAATAGTTCGATCTATCTCATTTGGATGATTAACATCAGGAAAATGTATTTGTAATGTAGGCACCAAAAAGTTAATCGAAAAATCTAGATAAACCTCACCATTAACAGTGCCCTCAAAAAAATAACGGCCAATAATTTTATTGTTAATGATACCAGCCCAAACGTTAACTTTTTTAGGATATTGAGTGTGAGTCGCACACATCCAGTGAGGATTTTCTCTGCTCCAATATCTACAGTTCTGTCTGTTAACTGTTAAATTTTAAATAATTCTATTAGAACTAATCGAGAGGAGTCAAATCGGGGGATCTAGCCGGTCATTCGATCGTTCCACGTCTTCCAATCCACCTATTGGCAAAAACCTCGTTTAAATAATTTCTAACTGTACGTGCAAAATGCGGTGGAGCTCCGTCTTCTTGGTAGTGAATAGTTCGATCTATCTCATTTGGATGATCAACATCAGGAAAATGTATTTGTAATGTAGGCACTGAAAAGTTAATAAAAAAATCTAGATAAACCTCACCATTACCAGTGCCTTCAAAAAAATAGGGGCCAATAATTTTATTGTTAATGATAACAGCCCAAACGTTAACTTTTTTAGGATATTGAGTGTGAGTCGCACACATCTAGTGAGGATTTTCTCTGCCCCAATATCTACAGTTCTGTCTCTTAACTGTTCCGTTTAAATGAAACGTCGCTTCACCAGAAAACACTATTTTGTTTATGAACTGCAAATCTGCGTTCATTCTGTCCATCATCAATTCACAGAATTCTTGCCTTCTATCAGGATCATCTTCATTTAACTCCTGAACCAACTGAACTTTGTAAGGGTGGTATTTTTCTTTATGCAAAACTCTCAAAATAGATGATTTACTTACATAATTGTCAGCGGCAAGTTTTCGAGTTGTCTTATGCGAATTTTCCTCAATCTCTAGAAGTACATTTACCTTTTTTTCATCAGTAAATTGAACATTTCTACCTGCTTTTCCAATATTTTTTACATGTCCAATTTCACCAAACTTTTTTTCAATTTTACTAACTGTAGACTGCGACACGTGTTGACCAGGGTATTTATTATTAAAAATTTCACAAACCTCCTTTTGAGTTCTTGTTCTATTTCCACAACCAATCATAATTAAAATGTCTTTTAGTAATTTTAAATACCTAAATGACAGCAGTCTACTATATTCATGTCAATTGTTTATTTGACTTTTTGTCTAATATTCTAGTATATTCAAAGATTTTTTATAGGATTCAAGGTAAGTAAAGAGCGTGTTACAGGGATGATCTGTTTAATAGATCAGGTTATTGTCAAGAAGTGAATAATGGTGGTAATTTTGAAAATTTTATTCAATTGTAAAAATTAATTTTCTCAGTTATGATTGCACCAAACTCAAAAAACTCCATATTGCTGAAAAGAGGACTAAAATCCATTTTCAACAAGGTGCCACACGACCCCCTATACTATTTAGAATTTTCGAGGGGGTGCTTATAATTCAGAAGGGTTGGTGGAGAGGGATAATATTTTCATACTGTAAATTGTCAATTTAAGAATGAAAATCGACCTGTTCACGGTTTTTTCATAGTACATAATGACGCTTAAAATGAATGTATTCCATACATATGGACCGCACTGTATATTGTGCCTATACAATAATCAGAATAATGTTTTTACGGCGAAATTGTTTTGATTACGTTTTGGTTCGGATGATTCAATTGCAAGATGAAATAAAGTCATTGATTACGTCAATACTCCAAGGGTTGAAGCAATGGCACGACCAAAATATTGATACAGCTCAAGGCTTTCAACGTGAAAGTCCCATTGCATTGTTTTTCGGTATTTCCAATGATTATATAGTAATTCTTTGGCATCAATTGCATTATAAAATACCAATACACAAAAGATTGTTTTGGCGTAAGCATTATCAGTGACTGAACCACATAATGAAAGGATATGCTTTTGTAGTTTTTGATTAATTTCAGTAGTCTTCCTATCACTTACCTTTCTGAGCAACAACTTTCATCGATCCAATTTCAACTTTTGTTTTGACGAGGTTATATAAATTCTGAATTGTTTTCTGTTGGACAGAAAATCACGAATATCAACTCAAAATCAGTAAATTTCACCATAACACATTTTTCCAATTGATCAGTCTAGATCCTTGTTGGAAATTCGAAATTTACCTTGAATCATAACAAAACATACATAAACATAAAAATAATACAAAATAAATGAAATCATAAGAAACACAAAATATTATACGTATAATAACGAATTAGAATTTTTTTATATGGTAAAATAAAATTTATATTTAAATTTTCCTGATCTACTGCTACACATTTCAAAATCAGGTTCCAAACACAGCCCAGGATTTCCAGTACATAAGTTGCATCAATATTCGGTCATTTTTCTGATTTTGCTTTCATTTCTGCAAATCCTACAAACCTTGCGTTGTACCTTTCCATTAGATTTAGGAAGTTCTGATGGAAGGTGAACTGGAGTTTTCACAGGTTGTAGCTTTGGTAATAAAAGATCAATAATATTTATTCTGTACTCATAAAAACTGATCCTGTTACCCGAATATTTATTATATAAAAACCACGGATTCAAACAGTGGAGAACAGAAAAACCATTTCGATATATTTTTCCCAAGAGCTATAGTTCAGGGAATGTTTGTAAGAAATTGAATATTTCTGACGATGGGCTAAAAATATCTAACACTTCAATACGTTGTTGTCGTCATTTCTATAGTTCAGAAGATATTCATTAAGAACTGTTTGTTTCACAGTATTTAAAATATCAAAGAGTCGAAAACAGGAACAAAACTTCTCAACAGAAATTTATCGTAACTGCCACACACAGTACAGGAAATTTGTATATTAGAAGATTACTAAATTTTGTTCAACGTATTCAAAATATTTTTGTGCGGGATAGAAACAAAATACCTCATCATGTTGTTTAGGAAATTTGACCAAAAATTCGAAAAATCTTATATTTTCTCCAAAGTAATGAAATAATCTAACAATGGAAAAATCAATGGAGAGATCAAAAAAGAAACTTTTCAAAAGATTTCTGTCGTAGTTGCTACAGTTTAGGAAATATTGGTTGAAAATTGAAAAAATCTCTTCTTTTCCGCAAAATTTTGAAAATATTTGACAGTGGATAACAGGAATGGAAAACTCCAATTCACTTTTGCCGTAATTGTTCTAGATCAGGAGAATTTGTTCAGAATATTGAAAATGCCTGAGGATGAGAAAGACGACCAAATCACATCTTCACTTTTGGTCGTCGTTTTTGTAGTTCATAAAATTTTCTGTGGATATTTTTGAAAACTGCATTATTCAGCTCAATTTCGACTTTTTGATAAAAGTTATTGAGAGCTTTCTGTTCAGAATTTGATATTTCTCTAGATAAAATAATATTACACAGAAATTACTAGAAACATATTTTTTCCAACTCGAAAACACGATGCTGAATTGTTTTCTCTTTCATTCATTGTTTTCAGCGGTAGAAATTCTATAAGTCTGCTCATAACAAATTCATCAGAAGTGGAGACTTTAATTGCATGTCACTTTCCAAATATGTCATTCGAAATACCTTTCCTTGCTCTCCGTGCTCAAATATTGGACAATTTTGTGAAAAATTCATTACTTGAAAAAACTAATTTATTGCAGCATTAATGTTCCCATTTTATAAATGGTAATCAAAAAAATCCCACTGATACAATCCTACATTATAACCATCAAGTGCATGTAAAATTTAATAAACATTCTCCACGAAGTAACTACCTGATTAAAACTAAACGTGTTCGTTTCATGTAGCGACGTACGATTTGAATAGAGGATAAGATGAAGAGAAATTGAACAAATGAATACACACACTCGTTTCATTGTTAGCTCTCAGTGTTTGTAGCGTTGCCTACTCATTTGTTTATTTACACTAATAATTTTCATGTAATATGTTAATTCATAGAACAACGATAATGAATACTAATAGTAGGTTCCTATTTGGAACGGTTTATACAGGGAGTGAGTGTGACTGGTGTATAACAATGACCAAAATGTTTATCAGAGTATTTGTCACAGTAGATTAGTTTTCAGTTGGTTCAGTTATTGGTAATGGCTTCAACGATGAGTGGTATTTCAGTATTATTTAAACAATAAAATCATGAAACGGAAATAATGAAAATGTGGGAAAGCTTTCACGACGTTTCTATTGTTAGTATCGACAATCGTCTTCGAGTAATAACTGGACTATCCTTGATAGTTGAGTCTATTTATAGATCAATTGGGCAGTGTCACCTCTCCCCCCTTTCTCTCTTCGCTATAAACTCTTGTCCCGCTTGATCAGAGACAATGGAAGTCACCACTTTCTAACAAAAAAATCATCAATACCAGTCTTGTTTCTTTTATTTGAACGAATACTTATCATGTTTGCTCAAAAATCTAGATAATAAACTGACTACAGTTCTCCCCATATATATTCAATGTTTTGAATATTTATATTTTTTCCTCCGATATTTGAAAACTGCTGATATAGTCTTCAAAAATTTTGGATTCTTTACAGAAGTAGTCACAATAATATCTGAAAAAAGTATCATAATCATCTTTTCCGTTCTCTCTTTGTGAAGCTGAACTTGGTCTTTCGGCTTTCCCCACATAATTCCCAAAAGAACTAATCCGCATCGGAGGTGTAATGACGAACTCTATTCCTGTCACAAGATCGGGGAAAAGTCTGTACAAATCCGATAAAGCTGACAATGACCATTTTTGAGCCGACGAAAATCTCCACGTTATTAGAGGAAGTCATTTTCAGCAACAATTTTTGCTGCATGTCTATTGGTCCATTTTTTCTACCAGTAAGATCAACAGGTGAATCCTACACGGACTGTTTGCGTACCTATTTTGCTATAACAAGTGCCGGTACTTGTAAGAGGTAACTTGTGGTTCATACACGATGGGTATCCAGCTCATTTCAGTGTTCTTGCTCGTTAGCATCTCTACATCACCTACCCTAATCGCTAATCGCTGGATTTGACGTGTAGGATCTCAAAATTGGCCAACTTGCAGTCCTGATATGAATCCTCTACATTTATATTTATGGGGTCATCTGAAGGCTTTCGTCCAAAAAACTCCTATACTAGATGTGAATGGCTTGAGGAATCGAATAATTGATAATTGCAATGTCATAAGGAATACTCCAGATATTTTTGAACGTATCAAGAAATCAATGACAAATCGATTGCAGTCGTGTATTTTATCAGAAGGTGGACATTTTGCTCATCTACTTTTGAGTCAAAATTATTATCTACTTTTGGTTTTTATTTTATATTGTCCATGGATAGTTTTCAGTTACTCAATCTAAAAAAAAAAAAAACTACAAAAAAGTCAGTGGCGTTCTAATTTTATCAATATTGTTGGCTGTGGTGCCCACTGAGACTCTACTGGACCTAATTTCAATCTAGTTCGGGTTGAATAGGCGCCTTATCACTTCAAATGTCTGTAGCAAATTTCAACTAAATCGGTGTAAGGATATTTATGATATTTCATAAATATAGTGTGAATGTTCATCTAAACTTTTTTTCTCAAAACATCTAACGAATCAACCTCTGAAGTTTCGTACTGTATATATCCTGTATATACCACAGCAAAACCGTGGTATATACAGGAGGGGAAAATTGGACGATCTCACTCCACTTCCCTCCAATGTTGAGGTCATTCCATTCGAAACAGAGATGAAATATATTGGCATTGTCCTTGATAAAAAAAACTCACCTGGAACGCTCACTTGGAAAAAGTTTTACATAGAGCCAGACTGTCCCTTTGGACATGTCGAAGGATTTGTGGTGAAACTTGAGGTTTAGGTCCTAAACAAATCCATTGGATATATGTGATAATTGTCAGGCCAATGATCACTTATGGTGCAATTGCCTGGTGGCCGAAGACTTTATAGAAAACGTCTCAGGCGAAGCTATATGGTTTACAGAGACAGGCTTGTCTGGCCATCAGTGGTACCATCAGTACCACACCGTCAGCGGCCATGAAGACCCTTCTAGATCTACCTCCTCTCCATATTTTTCTGGAGAGAGAGGCTAGATGGACTGCATATAGACTTGTGCACATTGCCAATTGCACAAATCAATTTAATGCAGAGTACAAGAGTCTGTTGGTTGACACTGGAAGTCACAGCATTCTGGAAATGACCTCTGACTTCATGCCTTCAACTGTCAACTATGAACTGCCTTATAAAGTACTGTTCCCGAGTAGAGAGGACTGGATCCTCTGGGAGAAGGAAATATTAAGAGCAGATAGTTCTTAGTTCACAGATGGATCAAAAACACCTCCCGGTTCTGGTGCAGTCGCAGACCGAGGACAGAGATATCAACCTGCCCAGGAACCTATTTGACTGTATTTAAAGCGGAAATATACGTTATTGAATTGTGTACGGAGAGATTAGAAGAATCCAATCTCATACACTAGTCAATAAAAATATTCTCGAACAGTCAAGCGGCGTTGGAAGCTCTTGGCTCCTACCGAGCAACCTCTAAATTGGTAGCAAATTGCCAAAAACTACTTTCCTCGATAGGAAGACTTAACAGATTGTCTCTGGTCTGGATTCCTGGCCATACTGGCCTGAAAGTATGAGGCTGCTGACTCCCTTACATCGCTTCAGGCTTTGCTAAACAAAGATTGAACACCTGGATGGCAAGAAGATTTATGGACTTCTGGCAGAATCTTCCAGGATTGGCTCACTCCAAGGCATTCATTCTCCCTTCGAAGCATGATTCCAAGCAGTTGTTGGACTGCAGTAGGAATGAATTACGATGTCTAGCAGGCCTTCCTACAGATCACTGTCATTTGAATCATCATATGCAGAGACTCGGAGAGTGCACGTACTTTGCGCCTACCCCGTTGGGGACCAAATCAGGTTTTCAGAGTTTGGCAGAGCCGTACTCTTACCATCTGACCTGAAAGACCACTCACCATACAAACTAATCGGCTTCGTTAAGAAGTTGCGTTTATTTGGTCGAGTGTGAATATTTGTGAGCCACAATAAACCCTTGCGGGTTGCTGTGGAGGATCGAATAGACCCACTTACTTTGTACCTTACCTAACCCAACCCTGTATATAAAATAAGATGAAATCACCAGTCAGAACACTGAAACTAAAGCAAAAACTATAAGTGAAATATAACAGCGAAAAAATATCTTATTATTCTTCTGTGAAAGTATCCTCTGAATATTCCTTATACAACAGTAGTAGTAGTTGCCTCACTCAATTGGTTAATGGTAATGAGATAACAGGAAGAATCTAGAATGAAAGTTTTTTTGTGAAGTTTGATTATTATGACGGATAGTGTTACTAATTTTCATCAAGTAACGGGTCAGTTCATTCATGAAATGAGTTACTGACAAAAGAATCAACATTCAGATCAGTTTTTATTCACGTGTGGAAACGAGTGAGTTATTTGAGTTCTCTTGAATCGATCACACTTGCCCCTCAGGGGTTTATAACTTTCGAAAACGTTTTGTAAAAATCAAATAACGTTTATACGTCGGCAATAAATATCAGAAGACACATGACTGCACCCAACCATTGTTTTCAAGAAATTTGGGCCATATTCATGAGCAATAAATCTTTATCGACCGAAATTCATTGAGATATTTTTCTGTTTCAGCATTCCAAATCAGTCCGAAGCCTTGTTGGGTGGATGGTCAGGAAGGCACTTGTATGTTCGTATACGAATGCATAAAGTCTGAAGGTTACCATATAGGTAAGATATTTTTTGAACGCATTCACCACAGATTTTGACATATAGTTATCAACACCGTTACACATCTTTAAGTATTCGGTTTATAGTTTAGTATACAGTTTATTGCAACAATTAAAATAAAACAGATTAGAATCATGTGGTTATTTCATATCGAGGTAGTGATAATAAGAAAGTGAGCAAAAGCCATAGTAATGTTCTTTTAGGTGGTATCCTTTGAAAAACTGAAAATAATGTTCGTGGCACCGTTACTTTAAAACGCCTTCTCAACTTGTTTTGTATGTTACAACATTACTTGTCAGCATTTCAATTCAAGTTCAAAGTTCATTAACTTCGAGTCTGACAAATGGTTAAATCAACGGAAATGCATAAAATGACGTTTTATAAATGAATTGATGGATGTAGCAGTTACTACGTTATAGGAAAATCATAATGAAGAAAAGAGAATTGAAACTATCAATGTTTTTCACCACTTTCATTTGTAACTAACGTTACTGCAGGACGCCTATATTATGAGAAATTTCCAAATTTACCGCCCATATCTCATGAAACAATAAGCAAAATAGAAAAACAGTTTCGCGAGCTTGGTCTAGTGGGGCTGATAAAAGAAGCAGCTGCCAATGCAATGAGTGATGAACTCAAATTAGATGTGATGCCTGAGTTTAGGGAAAACCCATATACATCGAGTAGACAGGTATCCACTGCATTCAATGTTAGCCATACATCGATAGTAAACATATTAAAAGAAAATAAAATGCATCCCTGTGAAATGATACCTACTCAGGAGCTCATGGAAGACGAATTTGATAGAAAAACTCATTTTTGTGAGCAAATGATAGACATGTTGGATAACAATATCATCCACTTAGAAGTCGTTATGTTTTCTGATGAGTATACTTGGTCTCTTAACGGTCATGCTAATCGGCAAAATTGCCGCTACTGGTCAACGGAAAATCCCCACTGGATAAGAGAAGAACACATGTTTGGGCAGGGATAGTAGGAAACCATATCATTTGTTCCTTTTTCATTGAGGGCAATTTGAATGGCGATAATTATTTGGCACTACTACAAAATTATGTCATTCCAATTTTAGCAATTTATATCCTCATCCAGGAAACCCTCAAAGTTCCAGAGAATACGATCCCAACCAGCAAAATTGTTTTATAATTCCATGGTTCTGCAACATTTTTATTTTGTTGATTTTATAGAATTACTTCCAAAATGCTAATCCATTATATTATACGAGCTGTGAACATAATACAGTTGTAAGCAATAAAATTGTAAATTTGTCATGGAAATGTTTATAAAATAAAATTAAAAATCCGTTATAAAATAGTCACGAAATTATCACCGAAACGTTTTTACAATTAACTTATAAAACATATTTTCCTATAAAAGTAAATTGTTTTGTAACAGTTTTATAGCACTTATCTGTGAGGTTTTTATGCTCTTTATAAAACTATTTCAGGATTATTTTATAACTGCTTCCTCTAGCTTTAATAAAATCGTTTTATTGGAATAGTTTCAAACACATTTTTGTTTTCATTGCCATATTGTCACATATGATAATTTTCCAACTATTTCATAGTATAGTATATTTACTACTATTTCAGAACAATAAAATAACTGTTATAAAATCAAATTGCTTCGTTGATATATATTTGCTGTCACCAAGAATAAAATACAGCATTTAAGAAGTACCAGTTGATATTGATTTTAGAGGTCGTATAATTTGTCAGTTTCATTTGACTAGCGTCCCAATAACTATATACCTAAAAACGTGTAATATTGCTCATTGAAGAAAAATAAAAGAAGAAGAAATTACTCCTTGCGCCTTTAAGAAAACATTTTGAACACTTTTTTATTTTATTGTTGTCGGTTTAGGTGCATTATATTTCATAAAGCTCACTTGGAAGTACTAATAAACTGTTATAAAATTTTATTTTAATTATTTTAGATTCTTTACGAATAGTGTTAGAAAAATTTTATAGTAACTGCCAAAATGTTTATAAAACTGTTTCGTGACTGGACTATGAATTTCCATGATGCTCTTTGAGTGGCTCGGAAAGATAATAACATAGTCTATCCAGAACACGAAGAGGATAATCATTTCCATGTAGTTGAAGACATTGTTACCTTCTGCATAAAAATTCACACACTATCTGTTAGATGCAATTGAAATGGGATATTATTTTCTGTTTAGGCTAGTCAACTGATATTTATTTCATTTTTCAGGAATGTGCGTTGATACATTTATGTTTGGTTCCTGTTGCGCCCACAATGCAACGGATAATACAGTGATGCCACATCTCCTCAATAGGCCACATGTGCTATACACACATCCTAGTCAAAATAGTCATCATAGCAATAATAATCCAAGCAAACCACCAAGTCATTATAGTACTAGTAAACCAAAACCAGCAAGGTGAGTATATTTGGAGAAATATTATCTGATGATATCTTTATTTTGAAGAAGATACTCATCAATTGAGTGGTTTCTTTCTTTGTATGTAACCCAAAATTCTTTTTTTCGAAAAAACTACCTCACGCACTTGATCACATTCCGGTTGTGAAACTATGTTATGTTTTTGAAAACCTCCAATAATCACACTCTTGCCACAGCTATCTCTCACCACCAGCCAAGTTGGTTCTTTCCACTAGCCAATTCATCTGAAGATACAAAGTCTCACCACCAGCCAAGTTGGTTCTTTCCAATACCCAATTCATTTGAAGGTACCAACTCTCGCCACCAGCCAAGGTGGTTATTTCCACTAGCTAATTCATCTAAAGATACCAAGTCTCACCACCAGCCAAGTTGGTTCTTTCCAATACCCAATTCATCTAAAGATACCAAGTCTCACCACCAGCCAAGTTGGTTCTTTCCAATACCCAATTCATTTAAAGATACCAAGTCTTACCACCAGCCAAGTTGGTTCTTTCCAATACCCAATTCATTTGAAGATACCAAGTCTCATCATCAGCCAAGTTGGTTCTTTTCAACAGCCAATTCATCTAAAGATACCAAGTCTCACCACCAGCCAAGTTGATTCTTTTCACTAGGCAATTCATCTAAAGATACCAAGTCTCACCACCAGCCAAGTTGGTTCTTTCCAATACCCAATTCATTTGAAGATACCAAGTCTCACCAGCCAAGTTGGTTCTTTCCACTAGGCAACTCATCTAAAGATACCAAGTCTCACCACCAGCCGAGTTGGTTCTTTTCAATACCCAATTCATTTGAAGATACCAAGTCTCACCACCAGCCAAGTTGGTTCTTTCCACTAGCCAATTCATCTAAAGATGCCAACTTGGTTCTTTCGAATATGTAGTGTGTAGTGTAGTGTAACAGCACTTGATACCCATTTGATAAAAGTGGTGGAAGGTTGCTGCAAAATTCGTTACCTTATACAAAGACGATATCTTTTTTGTTTCTAGAAAAGTTTTTAATCTGGTACACGGTATGTTTTCGATAACTCATGTTGCATATTGGTTCACTGTTCAGTTCTATTAAATTTTGTCACTTTATGGGGGAATAAATGTAGTTGTTTCATATATATACGTACTCTCCTACAACGGAAGTCCCAACTTCCTATTGTTTGTCGAGGAAGAGGCAGTTTGTCAAGTTACTAGAAGGAATCGAAATCACAAAATGATGTCAATTCGTCAGGAAGCAGTTCAGATCACATAGAGGAAGCTATCCGAAACCGGAGATGTGCAGGTTTATTCTGCAAAGAAGCTATGAAAATGTCTAAAGCTCTATTCGGCTATATCACAATAGTAACATAGATAAGATTTGTATGTTGTCATATCTACCAATCAGTATCATCATCCTCGCTGGAAAACAAAACGAAGGAACTAATAAACCAATAGCAATAATCATGGAATCACTAAGATGGTGTGTCCTGAATCGCTATTTCCAACTCTGGGACGAAGTGGGACTGTCAAAGAACGAAGTCTAACAGAAAAGTGAACAGCTCTTTGTCGTTTAAAAATATGAATTTCATAATTTATTTCTGTTAGTGACTTTTGTATTGGTTAATCGATTCAAACGGCACTCTATAGCAGCAACGTTATATTAGAACTCATTTTGTTTCTCTTTTCCAGAGCTTACACCATGTAAATTAACAGCATACCTACTAATGTACCAGATGAATGCATGTAAGACTACAATCTACAATTTCTATAGGTACCTACTCATGAAATTAGTTTCCCATTCGTTGTGTTATTTCGAACTTCAACACAGCTTCGTTTCAATCACTGCAATAAATCATTCCTGCTATAAATATACGCTATCAAGTGGGCAATCAATCTTGCCAACTTCCTTGTCGATTTTTAATATCACCGCATTCTTGACGGCTACTATAAATTAGTTGTAATTATAATTACAGCAAGATGAAGCGGTAACAACTACATCTGGCGGATCTTTACTCCCGTTGAACTAAACAAAGTTGTATTATAACGAACGTGACTTCGAGTGTTTGTTGTTTCCTTTTCACTTTCAAGTATCAACTTTCGATCTCTTTCAGTCGACCCCAGGCGACAAATTACTCAACCAGACCTCCAGTGGGATCGTCTTTGCAAACCGTGGCGCCATCTCTTAGCGACAAAGTGGGGGTTTCGTCCAGGCTACCGACGCAGCCTCCAAGGTGAGTAGATTTCTTCTTTAAGATTCTTTAAGATTTTTGTATTGATTCCGGCTCCACAAAGACCGAGTATTCGGAAACCGATCACAAGATGACTGAAAGTGTATATATATTTCAATTTCATTGGTTTCTTTATATAAAAACCTTTTTTTCATTAGATTCTCTCAAAAAATTGAGTGGAGTACGAAGTGGGGCGACATCTACAGTTGATAATTCGTTTGCCAAACTGAGGAACACATTGATGATTGCCATAAGAAATTGTATTCACACACATACTGAGTCCATTGTTTCATTTATCGTTTGTATCATTCGTTTACTCTAATGTGAAGTCATTGAATCGACATGATGACCAGTAAATCTAAAAGGTTGCTCAATCAGATAGTGTGACAAGTGGTATCCTTTAAAAAACTGTAAACAATTTTCGTGGCACGCCTTGTCAATTTGTTCATGTTTCAACATTAGTTGTCAGTATTTTAATTTAAGTTTAAAGTTCGTTAACTTCAAGTCTGACAAATGGTTAAATTAACAGTAACATAACAGTTTTACAAATGATTGTTTACGGAGATAAAACCCAAACACAACAGAAAGTAGCTCGTCTATTTCACGAGAAATTTCCTAATTCACCAACCCATATCTCAAGGAACAATAAGCAAAATAGAGAAGCAGTTTCACGAGCTTGATCATGTGGGGCAGATAAAAAAACAGCTGCCAATGCAATAAACGATGAACTGAAATTAGATGTGATGCTCAAAAACTAAAGTGTGAGGCAAAATGTGATGAAATGTAGAATACGATAAAGAACTATGGATATTAACGAAGTAGATGTTGAAAATGTTTACCGCGAACATCTTGGCAACATCCTAATCTCAAATCAAACTCTCTTCTAACATTATTCAATATTTCAGGCGTGACCGACCTAATCACACGCGTTATTCGTTCTTTCAAGTCATTCAAATCTGAAGGTTTAGTTTTGTACACATTGATCTATACATATCTCCATAAAAAGAAATCTAATGATGAAAGGTCAGGTGATTGCGCTGGTTATCCAATCGATCCTCGCCTCCCTATCCACTGATTGGGAAATATTGTATCGAGATATTGCCGGACATTAACTTGGTAATGTGGTGGTCTCATCCTGCTGTGAGCATATCGTATTCACTGAAACTTGAGGGTTTCCTGGATCAGGATATAAATTCTCTAAACTTGAAATTACATCATTTTGAAGAAGTGTCAAATAAGTATTGCCATTTAAGTTGCTCTCTATGGAAAGGAGACCAATGATATGGTTTCCTACAATCTCTGCCCAAGCATTAACTTTTTGAGGGTATTGCGTGTGTTCTCTCATTCACCGAGGATTTTCTGTTGACCAGTAGCGGCAATTTTGCCGATTAGCATGACCGTCAAGAGACAAAGTACAATAATCAAAAAAAGTCTTCTAATTGGGTCATATTGTTATCCAACATGTTCATCATTCGCTCACAAAAATAAGTTCTTCTATCAAAATCGTCATCCATGAGCTGCTGAGTAGATATCATTTTATAGGGATGCATTTTATTTCCTTTTGATATGTTTTCTATCGATGTATGGCTAACATTGAATGTAGCGGATGCCAGTCTACTCGATGTATGTGGGTTTTCCTCAAACTCAAGCATCACATCTAATTTGAGTTCATCACTTATTGCACTGACAGCTGCTTTTTTTATCTGCTCCACATGACCAAGCTCTCGAAACTGCTTCTCTACTTTGCTTATTGTTCCTTGAGATATGGACGGAAAATTAGGAAATTTTTCATGAAATAGGCGAGTTACTTCCTTTAGTGTTCGGGTTTTATATCCGTAACCAATCATTTGTGAAACTGTTATTTTATGCATTTCCGTTAATCCAACCATTTGTCAGACTTGAAGTTAACGAACATTGAACTTAAATTAAAATACTGACAAGTAATGTTGTAACATACAAAACAAGTTGACAAGGCGTTTGAAAGTAACGTTGTCACGGAAACTGTTAACAATTTTTTAAAGGATACCATCCAAAAAAAACATTGCTCACTTTGTTATTATTAATACCTCAACAAGAAATATATTTTGAGTATATTGCAGTAAGTTTTGAGTATATTCATTTTATCGAATTTTGGTTACAATAAAATTTTTATTTATTTTATCTTAATTGTTGCAATAATTCCGAAAGCGATAACATTTTTGAATAGAGAATGGAAGAACCTTTTGAACGATTTATCATAAGCCTATACTTCCTATTTGAAAAATTGAGAGTTGTACCTGTCATTCGATGGGGGTTGAAGGTAGGGGTAGCATTTTTCCGTTGAAGTATATCAAATTATAATTTGAATTCGTTATTTCGAGATTTTGTTGAAAGATGTACCTTAACCGAAATAATTACTCCATTTGGCTTTTATACACTTTATAAGGAATAATAAATGAACAGTTTACTGCAATTACTAAAATATATCATGACTGGTATATGAATCATACTTTCAAGGGGATGTAAGTAAAAGTCAGATAGTATTTGGTTATTGTTGAATGGGAATTTTCTTTTGTTTAGAGCGTTCCAGGTTTACAAATCACAAACATTGAGAAATTAATGAAGAAGAGGGCTACAACTTATAAAGGAATTAATTGAAAAAAATATGACTGTGGAGAAATGAAAATAAACAATGCAAAGAAACAATGAATTGTCATTAGTTATGACCTGCCGAAGTGGAAACTGATTACAACTGAAAATGAACTTTTCAATGAAATTTGTAAAGAAAATATGTTATGAGTAATAAATCTGAACATTTAGAATATACGGAAAAGAAAATGAAGAAATTCAGAACCACACCATTCACTACTTTGCAATTTTATTCCTAATCGAATAATATCGGCGTATAATTTATGATTTCTTTGGAAATCATAATTCTGAACCTGAACCTTAAAGCTCAATTCAATTCTTTTGTGCATCAAATTGGGTAGGACAATGTATGTTCAGTCAATCAATATTAAATCATGATACTCATCAATGTGACAAATTCCTCTTTCTGTCTCCAGGCACAGCATTCGACCGATGAGCACGGATAACTTTCCAGTATCGAACAGCATCATGATCTTCACCAAGCCTGGCTGGCAGATGACAACTGAGCCAGCTTTCATCACTTCCAACCACAATTCTATAAACCACGGCGACGAGCTCAATCTGCAGTGGCAATTTACTACGGAATCTGGTTCTGTAACGAGAGGAAAGAAGCCTACGAAGCCTAAAAACAAGCCTACGAAGAAGCCATTGCAGGGTATTCCTGATAAATATACCATGAAATATGGAGTTAAAACTACTTGGCCAACTTCAACCAAGAGGTGAGTTGAGAGAGGTTGTCAATTGAAAATTATTTTGTAGGTTATAAGCTACAAGTATCAGGTACGGTTTTGGCACATGAGCAATCATTACTAAAAATTTATTCGTCCAAATTGAACTGACCTTACTTTGTCGAAATGTCCTAATGTTTATCAAATAACTTTTTTCCAAATGTGAAATTTATTTCCTTTTTCTCTCTGGAGAGAATGATAAGACAAAATTAACTCGGTATTCGAACGTTGAGGCAATATTTAATACTCAAAACGAGACAAAAACACGTCATAACATATATTCAGTGGGCCTAATTTAAATCTGGCTGTAAATCAAATTAACTGAAAGAACAATTTTTTCAGGACAGTTTCGACTTATTGACACTGTAGGTTAATGAAAACAACTACTTCCCTGGCTAATAACACGAAATAGTACAGGATTCCGCCGCAAAATCACAACGTTCATAGCGTAGTTAATCAAACTAAAATGTTTACATACATTTATGAATAGGGGAATACATTTATGGCAGGTTGCCAGTGAAAAAGTGGCCGCCAATTTTTTTATTTAAAATAGTCAAGATGCTAAAATACTTTATGGAGCAAGAGCCAAATCGATCCCTCTACGAAACCCTTCATCACTTGGAAGGATCGATTGCAGCTTCCTTACTAATCAGTAGACAGTTGTCCCGAAAATCTTGCGGATAAAATTGGATTGGATAATTTAGGAAGCACTTGCTGAAAAGCATTTTACAAGTGTTGTTCCTGACGAAAAATCTCAAGAACGATGAAAACGAGAATGTTTCCTATTTATTCACCAAACACAAACACCTATTCATGCCGCTGCATTTTCGTAAGAATGTATCATCTTTCCCACCAACCGATTTCCTAGAGTCTTTGAAGTCCACTAGATACTTTTTAAGACCCAAGAGGATCCGAATTATTGGGGTTCTTGTTGAATACTCTTCTTAAGCAGGAAAATAGCAGAATCGATACTCCTGACCGCTCTGGATTAAATGATTCCGTACAGCCTATCTCTTCTTGTGTTTGTAGATCTTTTCCTGGAGAAATACTCACTAGTTTACTTTGTAGTAAATGTTCAAAAGGTAGCAAAAACGTATGTGACTTTCTAGAACTTCAACTAGGATTTCCTAATATGACTGATAACCAGTCCGTGTAAAGCTTTTTGTTGAATTATCTGAAAATAAAACTTCTAACAGCTGATGGTCAACCGTATTGCCGAATATGCGCCAAACTAACTGACTATTATAAGACAACAAGTATAGTTAATGCACCAGTCAATCTGATAATAACACTGATGATCTTCAAACATGACTCAACCTCTGACGGAAGCACCAAACTTTTACGAAGGTTCGAAATAGATGAACACTTCGATCTAGCGTACCACTATTATAATATTCATGCAGTTATTGTTCACTGTGGCTCTGGCGTTGAATCCGGTCATTATTACGCATTGGTCAAAGACGAAACGGACTGGTTTAAGTTTGACGATAGTCGTGTCACTAAATATTCTGGCAGAATCTTGAATTTATTGGAACCTCTGGAGCCTCTACATCATATTCTATGAAAGAGAGGACATTGGCAGATCAAGATCTTCAGATGATGTNTCATACTTACTTGAAAATGGCTTCAAAGTCGTAGGCAAAACATCGAACAACTCAAAACACCAGATATAAAAATTTTCATTGAGGCATCTTCAATTTTAGAAAATGTCATCGATACACCCATCTGGAGACTATTTCTAGTGTCATATTGATTTCAATTAAGATACATTTATGAGTGAAAAAAATTTTCGGCATACCCCTTTAATTATGACTCATGAGTATTGCTCCAAAAGCTTTATTCTATTTATAGAAAATCTTCTCGAAAAATGGATAAAATATATCACAAATTTCAGCACCACTGACGTGAATGAAGGATATAATGTTTTTCCATATGGAAATTGTTTTGAATATCCCTTCATTGCTAATCTGAATCTGGAATCCAGAAAATGTATTTATGTCAAAGAAACATCCACACACAAATCATGTTATATCATTTTTCATCCTATTCAGCCTTAAAGTAGTAAAGAATTTCAAAGTGGTGCCTGACGATGTAAACATTTTTCAGCCTTTGTGCAGAAGCTCTCTTGTCGTGATTATAACATCAACATTGTTCATATTTCATAAATGCGAGCGACATATTTGGAAAGAGCAAAACCATTAATCACGCGGAAAAATCGATGCAGCTGTGTGATTTAATAATTTTGTGCGAAGGGTGAATAATTTTCAACCAGTCAAGGCCAGGAGCCGATAGAAATAATTACAAATGGGTGTAACTGAAAGGTTGAACTAAAATCTCTGACACAAAATAAATCCCAACGAAATACTATTACAAACACCTAGCCTATTAAATCTTTCTCAACTTATATCCAACAGGGTGATCTTCACTTTTACTTCAAATCATACACCAATGTATGATTGGAAAATTCTCAGGTTAGATCTAGATGCTTTTAGGATATTATTTCATGAAGAAAATGCGGTTCAGAATGGCACTTTTCCCTTATATCACACATTCTGCTATCTCCAGAATCTGGAGTTCTTTGAAAGTCATTTCAAACAAGCTTGAATATTACTGGAGTTTTGTCCCAACACCAAATCGTTATTTTTAACACTTCGACACGTGTTTCGATCACCAAGTGATCATCTTCAAGATGATGAAGATGATCACTTGGTGATCGAAACACGTGACAAGGTATTAAAAATAACGATTTGGTGTTGGGTGATCATTTTCAAGATGATGAAGATGATTACTTGGTGATCGAAACACGTGTCGAGGTGTTACAAATAAAGATGATCACTTGGTGATGAAAACACGTGTCGAGGTGTTGAAAGTAACGATTTGGTGTTGGGAAAAAAACTCCAGTAATATTCATTACTACACCAAAGATTCCAAACAGTGCATCATAAGTCAAACGAGCTTCATTAACTTGTTGCGTACGACCAACATACTTCTGGTTACAGAATTGCTTTTTTTCAATATTTTCCCTCATCAGAAAATCAGTTATGGTCATTATATCGATGGACGTGAAAACGTTTACATGTAGCAAGGTCATATGATGGTTTCGGTAAGACATCTTCAGGTAGACTGAAATAGTTTCAAACAATTGAGATGATCATAGAATTGATTGATGAATTATTTATATATCATCGTCATCGACGTGAATGAAACATTAAGCTTGTCGCCTACTTGACCGGCGTTGTCCGTCGCCTGATGGCGATATCGAGCAGTGACAAAAACATGTCTATCACTAGCAGTTCTGACGAAGATGTTGTCATTATAGTGATCGCATTATTGAATGTAGAAGAACACAGTCACAAAAAAGGATGTTGTGGGTCCATCCCAATAATCAAAAGAGGGCAAATCTGGGAGAGTTTCATCATCATTCCAACGATCTGAAAGAAGACAAAGAGAAATTTTTCCGAATGATTTCAGGCAAATATTGCCTTAAAAACCAACTCAATTTTTCCTCGTCCATTTTCATAGGTACCGTCTGACACTGCTGTCAACCGATGCAATAGCAAAACAAAGAGACAGAAACTTCCTAGGCAAGTTTGGAAAAGTTGTTGCTGGCAAATGCTGGCCGGCGACGCGCTCAGTTGGCCAGTCCGTCACAGCACGTACCGTTATTTGCCGGACAGGATCTGTTTTTAAATCTGTTTTAAAATCTGTTTTTCCGTTAACCAGCTGACGCACCCCTACGAACGACAACCCTCAGAAGTCGAAACTTGTGCGAGCTAAGGATTAACGAGG